AGTAATCAACATGCATTCACACTATCAAGCTCAATCTAAGAGAAGGAAGTCGTAGCCTACCTGTAGGTCGATCACACGCACCCCAAAATCAATCCTCCAGAGCTCTTCTTTTCCGAACGACCTCGAAACGCTGCCACGCTATCAAAAATAGAGTTAGAACATTATTACGGTCATTTAGACACTAAAATTGCAAGAAACAGAGACGGACCAATTTCGGGGTTAAAACGGGAAAGTGGAACCCGCACTGGAAATTCTGAAATTAACCCCAAAAGTAGGTCCTAAGCAGTTCCCCCAGCTCATGTCCCAACATGCAACCAAAACCCAATTTTTTTTCAAGAACTAGAAATGGGACAGCTGCTGAATATGTAAATTTACCAGAAACAGGAGGTCTACAGTGAATTACGACATCACCACAACGTTCTCCTCGAAAAACCACTCAGGATAGCCTCAAGAATCACTGAAATCAGACCTAAAATAGCTGACAAAACAAGTCTCAAAAATTCCAAAATCAAGCTCACAAAAAGGGGTCGTGGCAGCAGGTATTTTACAATATATTACCTCAAACGGGGACCCCAAATTCGTTTCCGATCTCACCATCACGTTCCTTATGAAAAACCCCACAAGATGAACCTTTGAATCACTAAATTTGGACTTGAAATGAGATATTTAAGCCCTTTTAAAGTTTTAGAAAAATGCTGAATTTTCTGCACTAATGCGCCAGATTTTCAGCATAATTTGGAAACTTAAAAACTCTGATAGGGCACTCCGAGCTTGTTCAGAACCCCGTGCACATAAACGAGATATGCAAACATACCAAAATTGATATTCCGAACTCAATGGCACAATCAAAATCTCCATATGAGGTCATCTCGATAAAAAGTGGGTTCCACACCCAAATGTCATTTTAAGTCAAAAACCACAGAAGGGCTCGGAAAAATATCAGAAACCTCGGGACACAAAAGACGGTCAATCTAGAACAAACTTGACATTCTGGAGCTAACCACGCTAACGGAATTCTCATCCGAGTGCGTTCTCTCAGAATGTTGACTATAGTCATACTTAGGCTTAAATTTAAAGTTAAAACACCTAATCGCACCGACTCACACTGAAAACCTTGGGAGTCATGTTGACCATGCTACTAGCCTAAATTGACCCTTTCGGAGCTGATGGAATCCTCATAATTGGATTCCGATGTCATGTTCTTGAATTTTTGATCGAAACTGATCGTTCAAGGTTCATAAGCTCCAAAACACTAAAACTCGCACCATAACCAAACGAACGACCATGTGACTGAACTATCAGTCCTAGCAAGTCATAAATGACTTGGGGTCGCTACAGGAACGCTCTAAACGATACACAGAAGGTAAGAAATGTAAATGACAAGGAGGGTCATTAAAATATCCACTACTAAAAAGGACTTTCGTCCGCGAAAGAAAGGATAAAGATATACCTGAGGGCTCAAATAAGCTGGGGAACTGCTCCCGCATCTCCTGCTCGGTCTCCAAGTAGCCTCCTCAACTAGACGATGCCTCCAACGAACCTTAACAACAGGAATGGCTCTCGACCGTAATTGCCTGACATCTCTGGCTAGAATGTCAATCAGCTCATCTATAAAGGTCAGACGATCATCCAACTCAACTGAATCATACTGGCGCACATGGGACTCATTAGGAACATACCGCCGCAACATCGAGACATGGAACACCAGGTGGATGGCTAAAAATGTTGGAGATAGGGCCAACTCATAAGCAACCTCCCCAATTGTCCAGAGTATCTCAAAAGGTCCAATGTACCTGGGGCTAAGCTTGCCTCGCCTCCCGAATCTCATCACGCCCTTCATAGGCGATACTCGGAGAAATACCCGATCGCCAACTGCAAACTTCAACGGCCGATGCTTGTGATCCGTTTAACTCTGATGTCTACTCTGAGCCATTCTGAGCCTATCCTGAATCACCCTTACCTGGTCCAAGGCCTCCTGAAGCAAATTTCTACAATGCAGCCTAGGCTCTGTAGACTCAAACCAACCAATTGGTAGGCAACAACGCTTAACATATAAGGCCTCGAACGGTGCCATCGGAATACTAGAGTGGTAGCTATTATTGTATGCAAACTCTGCCAAAGGCAAGAACTGGTCTCACTGACCTACAAAATCCATAATACAGGCCCGCAACATATCCTCAAATACTGCTCATGCTCACTCCAGCTCCGCGAGTATACCAATATGTCATCAATGAAGACGATAACAAATGAATCAAGGTATGACCTGAACATATGTGTCATCAAGTCCATGAAGGCGACAGGGGCATTAGTCAACCCAAAAGACATCACAAGGAACTCATAGTGGCCGTAACGAGTCCTAAATGCGGTCTTAGGTATGTCCGCTGCCCTAATCCTCAGTTGATGGTACCCGGACCTCAAATCAATCTTAGAAAACACGGCGGCCCCTGAAGCTGGTCAAGCAAGTCATCAATACGAGGCATGTGGTAACGGTTCTTCGTCGTCACCTTGTTCAGCTGCCTGTAGTTAATGCACATCCTCATAGTCCCATCCTTCTTCTTCACAAACAGAACAGGAGCACCCCAAGGTGACACACTCGGACAGATGAACCCCTTACCTAAGAGGTCCTCTAACTTAAAACTAGCTCTGCAGGATCCATCCGGAAAGGCGGAATAGAAATAGGACGGGTGTCGGGCTCCAAATCTATGGCAAAATCAATGTCACATTCTGGGGGTAGGCCATGTAGGTTTGTAGGGAACACATCTGCAAAGTCCCTAACCATAAGAGCTGAGTCAACTGAAGGGCCCTCCCTACTCACACCTCTCACGTAGGCCAAATATGCTAAACACCCAGAAGCAACCAACTGCCTAGCCCTTATAAAAGAGATTATCCCCATCGGTGTGTGACTATAAGAACCCTGCTACAACACTGGGGGATTGCCAGGCATCGCTAAGGTAACAATCTTAGCGTAGTAGTCGAAGACCGCATGGTAGGGGGATAACCAGTTCATGCCCAGAATCACATCAAAATCAATCATATCTAGCAGAATAAGATCAACTCTAGTATCATAACCCTAGATAGTCACTAAGAAAGATCGCAATACCTGATCCACTACTAAGGACTCACCCACCGGGGTTGAAACATGAACTGGCTCTGCCAAAGACTCAGACCTCATACCCCAATTAGGGAGAAAAATAAATAGATACATACGAGAATGTGGACCCGAGATCAATTAATAATGTAGCAGGCTGATGGCATAATAAAAGCATACCTATGATGAAATTGTCAGATGCCTTATATGCCGCCCTCGTCGGGGCTGTGTAGAAAAATGGCCCTGAGCACCTCTACCCGATGCGTCCGATCTACCACCTGACCTACCTCCCTGAGCTCCACCTCTGCTACCCTGTCGGCTATCCCGACGGTCCTTGTCCTGACCACTATTACATTGACTGTAGACAATTGAACAAAATAACAATCAAGAATAGATATCCACTACCGAGGATAGATGATTTGTTTGACCAACTGAAGGGTGCTAAAGTATTCTCAAATATTGATTTAAGGTCTGGATATCATTAACTGTGTGTTAGAGCGGAAGATATTCCTAAAACTGCTTTTAGAACTCGGTATGGTCATTATGAATTTTTGATGATGCCATTCGGATTTACAAATGCTCCTGCGGTATTCATGGATCTAATGAATCGAGTATTCAAGCCTTATCTTGATCAGTTTGTAGTTGTTTTTATAGATGGTATTTTAATATTTTCCAGAAGTAGTGAAGACCATGATAAACACCTCCGGATTATTTTGCAAATTTTGAAGGAGAAGGAACTTTATGCTAAACTTTCCAAGTGTGAATTTTGGCTTGATGAAGTGACGTTTCTAGGACATGTTGTATCAGTCGAAGGTGTGAAGGTCGATCCTAGTAAGATACAAGCAGTTGTGGAATGGAGACCTCCCAAAGGTCCAACCGAGGTAAGAAGTTTCTTAGGCTTAGAAGGATACTACAGAAGATTTGTGAAAGGCTTTTCAATTATCGCCTCTCCTTTGACTAAACTCTTGCAAAAGGAAGTAAAGTTTATTTGGGATGACAAATGCTAAAAGAGCTTTGAAACACTCAAATCCTTGTTGACTCAAGCGCCTATACTTACTCTACCCATTGAAGGGAAAGATTATGTAGTATACAGTGATGCTTCTCACAATGGTCTAGGATGCGTTTTGATGCAAGAAGGGAAGGTTATTTCTTATGCCTCTCGGAAATTAAAACCACATGAATTGAATTATCCTACTCACGATCTTGAACTTGCTGCTATAGTGTTTGCTTTGAAAATATGGTGGCATTATTTGTATGGAGAGAAATGTCATATATTCACTGATCACGAGAGCTTAAAGTACTTGGGTACTCATAAGGAGCTATACCTTTGACAACGTATATGGCTTGAACTCATCAAGGATTACGATTGCACAATTGATTATCATCCAAGTAAAGCCAATGTGGTTGCAGATGCTTTAAGTCAAAAATCTGTTGCAAGCATTTCTTTGAATCCTTTACCCTTGCTTCTTGAGTTAACATCCATGGATGTTTGTTTTACACCATATTCAAACGGTTCAGTTATTGCTAATTTGCAAGTAAAGCCAATATTACTTGAGGAAGTGAAAGAAGCACATACGATAGATGAGAAACTGGTAAAATTGACCAGAGAAGTTCAAAATGGGGAAAAGCTTGATTTTACATTAACAGAGGATGGTGCCTTATTTTATCAGAACAAGTTATGCGTCCCTAATGATGACAACTTGAGGGGAAAAATACTGAATGAAGCACATACTTCACCATATGCAATGCATCCTGGAGGTATAAAGATGTATCAGACCATCAAAGAACATTATTGGTGGAATGGTATGAAGAGAGATATTACGGAGTTCATTTCCAAATGTTTGGTTTGTCAACAAGTAAAGGCAGAACATTAGGTCCCAGTTGGTTTACTACAACCCTTGTCGATGCCGAAATGGAAATGGGAGAGAATAACAATGGACTTTGTTTCTGGACTTCCTCGCACCCAAGAAATCATGATGCAATATGGGTGATTGCGGAAAGGCTAACCAAGAGTGCTCACTTCTTAGCAATCAGGATGGATTACTCACTTGAGCGTTTAGCCGAGTAGTACATTAATGAGATTGTAAGACTACATGGTATTCCTATGTCTATTGTATCTTACCGAGACACAAGGTTTACTTTTAGATTTTGGTGTAGCTTGCAGGAAGCTTTGGGTACTAAGCTGAAACTTAGCACTTCGTTCCATCCTCAAATAGTCGGCCAGTCGGAAAGAGTGATACAAATTTTGGAGGATATGCTTCGAGCTTGCATTATGGAGTTTGAGGGTAGTTGGGACAAACACTTGGCTTTGATAGAATTTTCTTATAATAATAGCTACCGATCGAGTATTGGAATGCCTCCCTACAAAGCTCTATACGGAAGGAAATATCGGACTCCTCTTTGTTGGAGTGAAGTTGGGGAAAGAAAGCTTATTGGTCCTGAGATTGTGCAACAAACAGAGGACAAGGTAAAAATTATCAAGGATCGTCTAAAGATTTCTTCGAATAGACAAAAGTCGTACGCTGATCCTAAAAGGTGTGACATTGAATATCAAGTGGGAGATAAAGTATTCTTAAAGGTGTCTCCATGGAAAAAGATTATGAGATTTGGCCAGAAGGGAAAGCTTAGTCCCCGATTTATTAGACCTTATGAGATACTTGAAAGGGTTGGACCAGTTGCATATAAATTAGCTTTGCCACCGGAGTTGGAAAAGATCCACAATAGCTTTCATGTTTCTCTGCTCAGAAGATATCGTTCTGATCCATCGCATGTTCTTTCAGTTGAATATATTGAGGTTAATCCTGACTTGACTTATAATGAAGAACCATCCGAATTGAAGCTCGAGAAGTAAAGCAACTTAGAAACAAGAGAATACCCTTAGTAAAGGTGCTTTGGAGGAACCATTCTAGAAAAGAAGCTACCTGGGAAAGAGAAGATGACATGAGGACCCAGTATCCGAACTTGTTCCGGGACTAGTGTAAGGTAAATTTTGAGACGAAATTTCTTTAAGGGGGATAGAGTTGTAACACCGCTAAATATTAACCAAGAATCGCATGTCGATTTACCATTGCTAAATTACTACAATATGTTTTACTCTCATTTTAGGAACTTGAAATGTTGTGATAATTGCTAACTTTCTTAACATAAATTGTGATCGTAATTTAAGGGATTGTGATGGGGTGTTTAGGCAATATTCCAATTAGAATTATGTATAACATTAAAAGGAGATGAGGGATATATATATATATATATAGGTGTATATGTATGCATTTTGGGCAGCACACAAATTTTGGGCAGCACCTTGAAGGACAGCTGCCCAAGGGATAAACATCACTTGTTTGACTATATATTTTCACCCCTCCTTTAGTAATTTCGTTTTCCTCAACCTTAGAACCTTAGAAACACATCTAAACAGATTTTCTTCAAAATCACAAGAGAAAACTTGGTTCTTTTGGTTGGAATTCGAGACACACACTTCTTTTTGGTAAGTGACGAAATTTGTTCATGAGCTGGGTTGTGTTTGGTAATTTATGCATATCTCGTCCTCTAGAACTCCTTTACAGTGAATAAATATGATTTGGAAAGCTAATTTGTAGACCTACAACTTTTATGTTTATGTAAAACTCTTATTTAGCTGTTATGGAATCGAAATATGGGACTCAACATAGGACAAGTTCTGTCCAGATTTTGAAATTAGAAATCCTGTATGGACAGCTGTTAGTGTTTTGAATATATCTTTTTATAAAAAATATATTTTACGGTGATTCTTGTTTTTTTGAACCTTAAGAGGTGTAGCTACATCTTTAATGAAGGTCATAAAGTCTAGTTTTGCCGTTTTCCTTTTCAAATCTAAGTTGCGACATAACGTACTGGCTGGCCAGAATCACTGTTTTGGGAACATAGTCGTGTTTGTACAGGCTAAGCTTACTTGTGATGATAATTCTGTTTTACACCAATATTATTGAGCTGCTGGGAATTAAAGAAGTTATTTAATTGTATTTTTAAGGTTGTATATACTCGTGAACAAGTTGAGGACCTTGATACGTTGTGGTCTACGGTTTGAACTCTTGAAGTTGTATTGGACTGTTTCTTTGCTAAAGCACTGAGGTTTGTGTATAAACTTGTATTTGCACTCTTTTAACTACTAGTATATCTGAAATTTGATCTTGGTACCTTGGTTACTCTTGTCACTTTGCATTGTTGTATTGGTATCCTTTGAGAAGTTAAAGACGCTTGTGTAACTCGCCCACTTGTATGGATTGTTTGATCACCTGGCACTCTTGTTGGGACCTTGTCCTTCTTGTGGCTGTGACTTTGTCACTATTGGCATGCCTCTTGATTCGGATCATTTGCCATCTTGACTCTGGATTTTTAGTTCGTCTTAAGTATGGAAGTTGTCCATTTTAAGTACGAATTAGAAACCATTTTAATATGGTTCTTGGTTCTCTTGATTATTGGGCTTTGACCTTCTTGATACAGGGCGTCGGCCCTTCTTGATACTTGTTTGTGCTTGGTGTGAAGACATGATGTACAATTGGGCGAGCCTTGTTATGAATCTCTTGGAAAATGGTGTTATGAGCGTTCTTGACAATTGGACCTCAAAATATCGAACTTGATACTTTTGATATATTGTTTACTTGATTTATTTATTATATTTGATTATGCTGCCCATGACTTGAGAAAGGTAGTTTTGTGAATTTGATGGTCCGAACCTATAGTTTTACACCACTAAGCTATATGCTTAGCGATAGTTGTTTCTATCGTAGGGAATGAGCGAGTGGATGCATGAAGTTGCCATTGGACAGGGAAATTTTGAGAGGCTTAAGGAAGATCACATTTGCATATGGCATCTATATTTTGTATAAACCTTGGGATTTGTACATGATCTATGTTTTGTATATTTACATGAATTTTGAGGACTAATTTGATCATGTCACCATGGGTTGTAATATAAGTATGGCTCTATGTTTTGTTCTTTTGGGGTGTGTAAGCCCAAGTCTTGTAATATATTAAATTTACCACTAATTTTGAATGAATGTGTGAAGCATGAACCACCTAGTTTGGGTACTTGGAAGTTGGTAATATTTTTTTATGTCATTTTTTTGTTCTAGTGTGAGTACAATATATGCATAAAAATCTCGTGAGTTATTGGCTTATATTATTTTGGAAGGGTCGCTACAAGTGTTGGTATCAGAGCTTCGGTTTCTGGTTCTAGGACTTTTGGTGTGAATTATTGTATACTTGTTCGTATTCGAAAAAGGTTCTATTTGGATTATTTGTTCACTTACATGGTTTATAGTATTTCTATCGCATGTAGAGTGCACATGCATCATGTACATGTCCCTAATGCAATGTGATCTTCCTTTTGAAGGAATTAAGTTATGGCCTCTTCTTCTCACCGACCTATGGAAGCTGCTCGTGAAGGTTTGGGTACTCTGTTCCCCAACCTCATGCACTAGAAGAGGTTGGAGAACCTTTCTCGAATCAATATGTTCCCCACACTAGTGGGTCTGAAGTGGGAACCATCATGGTGTAAGAGCTGGTTCACATCCTCACATGAGCCGTGGTACTCAAGCCATGAATCCTCTTTTCATCAAATGGTGAATTCTTCCACCACATGGCTGAAGCGATGCATGATCCCAATGTGATTAAATTTGGGAAATGAGGAAAATGGGTGGAGTGGAGTTTGAAGGCACCATTGATCCCACAATGTTGAACAATGGTTGGAGCACATGAGGGGGTATTTGAGCAGTTAGAGTGTTCCGATGTTGCCAAATTTAAGTATGCTATTTCACTATTACAAAAGATGCTTACGATTGGTGGGTAAGTGTTCCAAATGCCAAGGTAAAACCTCCTGTTCTTACTTGGGATGATTTTCTTAGGGAATTTCGTATGAAGTATGTCCACCTGCTTATTGTGATGCAAAGAGAAAGGAGTTTTTGAATTTAAGGCAACGAGGCATGTCTATTGCTGAGTACCAACAGAAGTTTCTAATGCTCTCTCGTTATGCTGAAGGTATTATTAAAGAGGAAAAAGACAAGTTAGGAAGTTTGAAGATGGTTTAAATGATTCCATTATAAAGAATATGCGATCCTGGAACATGAGAACTTTTGTATGTAGTGTCTGCTGCTTTTACTTGGTAGCGACTTGATAAAGAAGAAGCTAGTAGAAATGAAAACAATTTCCGGAAGCCCAACCAGATTTTGGGGGTCCATCAAAAAGGGGAAGGTTTGATAACTCTAAGGCTAGTAATGATAACAGGCCACCGCAGCAAAAGCAAAACATATCAAATTTTTCTACAAGTAGCACTCCAAATTATGGCCAAGGCAAGCCTCGTGTTCCCTCTTGTCCGCAATGTGGAAAGAATCATTATGGTACTTGCAGGAGAGCTTCTGGTGCATGTTTCAATTGTGGGAGCTTTGATCATAAAGTGAAGGATGTCCTAATCCTAATAATGCTCTTCCTTGAGAACTGAAGCTCAGTTCATAAGCCTTCTATTAATCCTTCTCAAACTAATAGAGGTGCAAGACCTAAAACACCCAAGCAGCAGGTACAAGTGGAACTAATCAAGCTAGTGGACAAAGGGCTACTGCACGTGCTTATGCTATGAGGCAGAGGATGATCAAGATGGACAAGACGTGGTTGTCGGTAAATTTCACTTATTTGGCTTATGTGTGTTTACACTGTTTGATCCTGGTTCTACACATTCATATATTTGTTCATCACTTGTTTTTCCTGAAAATGTGAAATCTATGAGACTTAATTATGATGTGCTGGTTGAAACTCATTTGGGTTATCAGGTTGTGTGTAATCAAATTTATCGTGATTGTCCCTTCGTGATTCAAAGCTTGGTCTTCCCTGCTGATTTGATTGAAATGCCCTTCAAAGATTTTGATGTTATTATCGGGATGGATTGGCTTCTAAATATCATGCAGTGGTGGATTGTCGGTCAAATCATGTGACCTTTAAAGATCCTTCATTGTCACACATCATTGTACAAGGTGAAAGATCATTGACAACTAGTATTATTTCTGCGGCCTTAGCAATTAAATTGATGCGTCAAGGATGTGGGGCATACCTTGCTCACATAGTTGATACACAATTGGAAATTCCTTGTATCAAGGACATACCTGCTGTATGTGATTTTAAAGAAGTCTTCCTAGAAAACCTTCCTGGATTGCCCCGAAAGAGAGGTTGAATTTCTAATCGAGCTTATTCCTGGATCTACCCCTATTTCTATCACTCATTATGAATTGCTCCGGCGGAATTAAAAGAATTGAAATCTCAATTGCAAGAACTTCTTGAGAAAGGTTTTATTCGACCTACTGTTTCTCCTTGGGGAGCCCCTGTTTTGTTCGTCAAGAAGAAATATGGCACTCTTAGGCTTTGCATTGACTGTAGACAATTGAACAGAATAACAATCAAGAATAGATATCCACTACCAAGGATAGATGATTTGTTTACCAACTGAAGGGTGCTAAAGTATTCTCAAAGATTGATTTAAGGTCTGGATATCATTAACTGTGTGTTACAGCGGAAGATATTCCTAAAACTACTTTTAGAACTCGGTATGGTCATTATGAATTTTTAATGATGCCATTCGGATTTACAAATGCTCCTGCGGTATTCATGGATCTAATGAATCGAGTATTCAAGCCTTATCTTGATCAGTTTGTAGTTATTTTTATAGATGGTATTTTAATATTTTCCAGAAGTAGTGAAGACCATGATAAACACCTCCGGATTTTTTGCAAATTTTGAAGGAGAAAGAACTTTATGCTAAACTTTCCAAGTGTAATTTTGGCTTGATGAAGTGACGTTTCTAGGACATGTTGTATCAGTCGAAGGTGT